TATCACCTGGAAAAATCAAATAAATACCTGTCCTCAGGCCCCACCCCTAGAGGTTCCCTTTTATTAGGTTCTGAGGCCTGGCTGAGGTGGCTTGGCTTTTAAAGCTCCCCAGGTGTGGACAAGATTGAGGATCCCTGTATCTGGCTATGAGGAGGGAACCGTATTTTCTTCCTCTCAATAACTGCATTGTGTGATATTAGAAAGACCAGTTTCTGGGGAATGTAGGATGTATGAATCATAATTAGGCCCTCTAAGTGTCAACCACAGCCTGGGTAGGGAACACCTGTGGAGCGGAGAATTAAAAATGAATGATGCCCTTTGTACTGTAATGATAATACATTCTACTCTCTGGGAAGCTATTAAAATATTCCCCTTAAGAATTTTTTCAAGTCTATTTTAAAGTGACACAAGAGAAAGTAAAATGGAGCATTCGAGAAGGCCCTGTGTACTTAACCTGGCAGAGCTTTCTACAAAATATTTTGTTGTTTTATTTATGTGTGCATTCTGCAGTGGAAGGGGGAGGGGGGACAGGAGTGTGCCAGAGGAAGAAGCAGAGAGACAGGCTTCCCATTTGTGTTGCATTGAGTAAGTCTGACTTGGCCTAACTATGTCTTATTCTGTTTTTCAAATTTTGAGGTCTGTTTGATGCATACATTTCACAAAAGTCTAGTCTCATTTAAATGATCACTTATGTCCTTAGAATACCCTCTACTGCATTGTTCTTCTGCACACCCCTGGAGCCCAGGAATGGAGTAATTCCTTTGTTTTCAAAGGAAATGCTCCACGCACATTCTCCCTACAGGGGTTAGTACAGTAAGACAAGAAGCAGTCCCAGTGATTCTCCTTAATGAGGAAAAACTTTCCTCCTATGTGTATAATGATAGGTAATTGAATTAGTACAGTAGGGAAGGGTTTGCTATTTCATACTCATAGTTTTTTCTTAACACCATGAAATTAAAGACATGCCAGCGTGGTGCTGCATACTCCTGATCACTTCCAAATAAGCAGTGTAGTATATTATTTCTTTTATGTGCTTTTACAGCACATGCTGTGCAAGATAATTGAGTCCATGACAGATGTCTGTATTACAGAAGAAAATTTATTTGTGAAAGAACAAACATGTATTACTTTTAACACAGGACTATTCATTATGTGGCCCACAAGGTGCTTTTTGACGACTTGCAAATTGAAATTAATATTTTCTCTTGTCGTTCTAAATATGCATAAGCAAGTTTGACTGTCGGATACAACCAAGTCGAAGCTCATTCTTGTGTTTCAATGCAGCTTTCTGTTCCTAATCAAGGCTGGGCCCTTGGAGTTCATGCATGAAGTGTGCTGTGAGAAAGCATTTATTTTTCTTTCTTTTTCTTTTCAGAAAAGCCCACAGACCTGCACATTCCCCAAGACTTGAAGAATAAGTGCAGTCCGCCAGTCCCATCCTCACAAGGAAATGACTAGTAGATAGGGCTCAACATAAGGGGGGAAAGGAAGATTCTTTGTGAACCCATCTCTACTCACTTGTGCTCAGAATGTCACTCTTCCAAAACAAACCCGAGTGTGGTACAGCATGCGTGGTCCTAACAGTTTTGTATGAGATGTACTGACTTGGAGATCTGGGTGAACAACAGCCACATGAAGGGGAATTGAAAAACAATGAGGAGGTTACAGAGGCATGTGCACTCCCATCCCCTCTGAGACACTGCCCACCTGCACTGCTGCTGTCTATAAATTAAGTCTCTCATTCTTAGCTGCCGGATTTTTTTTTTTTTTAAATCTGGAAAACAACTGGACATTTTACCAATGGACTGGATGCACATCTTTTGCACTAAGACTACGCATACTATTAAAGTAAAATTAAACCGGTAGACTACCACATCAGAAAGGACCTAGATTAAAGTGATCTCTTTGGGAAATGGCTTTTCTTTCAAAGGGAGGAGGAGGCTTTGTTAAGGTTGGCTGCTTCTTCTTCTTCCTCCTCCTCCTCCTCCTCTTCCTCTTCCTCTTCCTCTTCCTCTTCCTCTTCCTCTTCCTCTTCCTCTTCCTCTTCCTCTTCCTCTTCCTCTTCTTCTTCTTCTTCTTCTTCTTCTTCTTCTTCTTCTTCTTCTTTCACATATCAGCCATGGATTCCTCCGTCCTCCCTTCTCCCACCCCCCAGCCCTCCCCCACAATCCACCCCCCACTCCCACCTCCTTCAAGGAAAGGTCTCCTCTGGGGAATCAGCCCAGCCTGGCAGACTCAGCTAAGGCAGGTCCAGTCCCCTCCTCTCTACACCAAGGCTGAGCAAAGTGTCTCAGCATAGGCCCCAGGCTCCTTCTTATGGCTGGTCTGCATACAGACTGGCATGTCCTGAAGCTGGAGCTCCTGAGGCTCCCTGGTCACAGGCTTTGGGTGACTTCCCCAGGTGCTGGTGAGTTCTCAACTTGACAGAAACTAGAGTCACCTGGGAAGGGGACTCTTAAGTGAGGAATTGCCCTCATCAGATTGGCCTGTGGGGCATTTTCTTGATTTGTTACTGACTGTGGGAAGGTGCAGCCCACTTTGGGTGGTACCACTCCTGGGCAAATGGTCCTGAGTTGTCTAAGACAGCGAGCTGAGGGGCTGGAGAGATGGCTCAATGGTGAGGAGCACTGACTGCTCTTCCAGAGGACTCGGGTTCAATTCCCAGCACCCACATGGCAACTCACAGCTGTCTGTAACTCCAGTTCCAGGGGACCTGACACCTTCACACCAATGCACATAAAATAAAGTTAAAAGAAAAAAGAGCAAGCTGAGAAAGCTATGAAAAAGAAGCCAGGAAACAGTGTTCCTCTGTGATGGTCCTTACTTCAGTTCCTGCCTCTAGGTTCCTGATAGAGCTTCTGCCAAGTCCCCTCAGAGATGGACTGTTTCCTGAAAGTACAAGCTGGCTATTGTGAGTGTTTCATCACAGGAACAGACACTAAACAAGAACACCCAAGCACAGAACTGAGCCTGCATTATGAAAGTTCATACTACTGACTGTCCACCAGGAGCTTGAGGGTATGAGACAAGATTGCATTTAGACATTTTAACCTAGGTGCTCTCTCTCTGTCTTTCTCTCTCTCTCTCTCTCTCTCTCTCTCTCTCTCTCTCTCTCTCACACACACACACACACACACACACACACACACACACACACACACACACACACACAGAGAGAGAGAGAGAGAGAGAGAGAGAGAGAGAGAGAGAGAGAGAGAGAGAGAGAGAGAGAGAGAGATGCATGTGTTTAAAAATGTAGTCACTTTTGAACAAGAAAATTTCTTGGGATCAAAAGATACTGAATTGAACTTTAAAAGAAAAAAAATAAAATAAACCCACTACAGCCTAAGAACACTGCTTCTTCACATTTTCTACACACACATACACACACACAATGTTGGTGTTTTTGATGTTTTGGAGAAGGCACACTAATTTATAAATGGCTATAAATATGGAGAGCACAGAACAGTGGCTTACTCAATGACATCTTTCTTAAAAGAGGGTGAAGAAATGACTCAGGAATGCCTAAAGCCAAAAATCAGCCCTGGTGTGTGTGTGTGTGTGTGTGTGTGTGTGTGTGTGTGTGTGTGTGTGTGTGTATCTGTGTGTCTGTGTTGGTAAACTGAACCAGTTTCTTGGATCTGTTGATGGCATTCAGTTTCCACAAAGAATTTCTTATCTCCAGCTGAGAACCTGGGGTCAAAGACTTGCTTTGGAATTTGGGTTGAGAAATAGCTCCAACTGGCCCAGTCTACCTGATTTAACTCTGGCTCACCACTGCTGCCTGGAAATGCTGTGATATTGGATAGTCCACTGTAGTAGTTTCCCTACGGAAAGATGGATTTTCTTTCTGTGAATTCCCCTGTGACTTGAGAGCAATGACTGACTGGTTCCTCTAGCTCTTCCTTTTCTCGCCTCATTCCGCGGACTTCTTCCACATCTTCAGGGACCCTCCTTCCTGCCCAATAGAACTCTAGAGAACTAAGCAGGGAATGCTAGCTACCTGGAAAGGCCAGCACTTAGCTGAAGACCCAGGGTAGTTCGGGGTTGCAATTGGAATGAGAAAAAGGCTAGGTGAAAGACGAGGTAGGACTCTGGGAGAAAGAAGCAAAGGAACAGGCAGGGAATAGGTGTCATGAACACTCCAGTAGTCACAACGGGAGAGTCAAATACCACGTTCAATAAGAAACCTTTCAATTGCGTGTGCATATTACTAAGCCTCTAGTACACATCATTCCTGGTTGTAACTCATCCGTCCCCATTTCTCTCGCTTTGGGGTGACACTCAGAGGAGCAGGGGCTGGTCTGGTTGACCTGTGTGCTTACTTTAGTGGCACTGGGCCCTGCATGCCAAAACTGAGTGATCTTCAGGGGTAGGAAGATGCAGCAGAAAGGGACGCCAGGTGGAGATGGGAAGTCAGGAGAAGCAAGCTTCTGGTATTAGGGTATTGGCCGGCAAGCCACGGGCAGCCTAGGCGTGTGGCCCGAATTCTGGGATCTGGCTGCAGGAGGTGACTTCGAATGAAATTACACCTCTGCTAAGGTTTCGAATCCAAGTGTCCTATCCCGGGTGCACACGGCCTGGCAGAGCCCCAGCCCGGAGGGCGCGCGGGGGGGGGGGGGTGGGGGGGGGGGACGACTCCCTCCCTCACTCAGGACATAGCCTGGGAACCCGGAGCCGGGCGGAGGGCGGTGACTCGAACACTGTCCTCTGCCCCCCTCCAGGCAGCCGGCGCGGCCACTGCACGGGGGCTGGCTTGAAAGGATCCAGGACTCCGCCGTGTCCCAGAGACTTTCGGGCCTGGCCTTCTCCACGCTCCCAGGGGTGGTGGTGGTGGTCCTCGGGCGAGTTGCAGCCCTCTGGCTCGCACGTGAGTCCGGACACGGTCCAAGCGCTTCCCGGGAGCTGGGCGGCCAGCGCTGGGCTCGGAGGGCAGGAGGCGGAGCCGAGGCTGGGGCGCAGCCGGGAGCCGCCCCAGGGGGAGGGACCGACAGGGACCGGGAGGGACCGGGAGGTCCCGGAGCCTAGCGCGCCGCCGGGGAGGAGGGAGTCGCCGGGACAGCCGCCGCGGCCGCCGCGTGCTCAGCCTGTCCCCGCCCAGGGAACCGGAGCCACCAACTAACTCCGCCCGGCGCCCGCGGGGGCTCGGGCTTCCGTCCCGGAGAGAGCCTGCGGCCGCGCAGGTTGGTGCGGCCCGTGCGGGGCGCGGCGGGGAGCGGGTCGGGTGCGGAGCGGGTCGGGCGCGGAAGTTGGGCAGAGGCCGGGCGGGGGATCGGGCTGCCCGTCCGTCCCTCCGCTTCCTGGCGCGGGGACCGCGGTGGATTTCCTCCGGCGCGGCCGGCCGGCCGGGGTCAGCGCATCTGGCGCCCCAGCCTTCCTGGCGTTCTCCTCCCCTGCTGTCCTCACCATCGCAACTGAACTGCGCCGTCGCCTTTTGGGGCGCGTTTGTCCATTCGTCTATTTCGTTTTTGTTTTTGTTTTTTTCTTCCCTTTTTGGACCACTCTAAGTGGGAAAGCCCCGCGGGACCCCGAGCCGGTCCTTAGGACTTAGTTTGGGGGTCGTAGGGGCTGCCGCGAAGGTTGAGAGCGACAAGGCAGTAGTAGGATTAGCGACTGGGGCGCCCAAGTCCTGGCAAGTGCCGGGAAGCATGGAAATTCCCTGTCCTCATCGCCTGCGGTGTCTGTCCAGCTAGCTCTGCTCTCTCCCCGGAGGTTTTGTCAGCCTTAGGACGTGCGTACTACTCCAGGGAGGGGTGCTTGCTCTGTTAGGCAGGATGCAAAGTACCCGCCAATTCCTATACTAATTAAGTCTGGTTGGGTCACCTCGTCTGCGTGGCCTTGGTACTCTCTCCCATCAGAATCTCTGTCGTCCTGGACAGAATATATGCCGTTCTGTTGGCTGCTTAGAGCCTGTTGGGATGATTTAGGGGTAGCATGGGGTGGTTTTGAGTCAAGGTCTCTTGTGAAGCTCCTTGCTAGTGGGTGCCTGCCCTGAAGTTCTGTCCTAAAGCTCAGACGTGGTGATGATTCTGAAGGATTTGGCCTGGAGCTCTCTAAGGCCAAGAGGCATAATGGTTCATAGGGTTTTCTGCAAGTGGTTAATAGGGTTCAGAGTTGACACTGCCCTTTTATTCAGCAAAGCCTGTGTCCAAGCTATGGATCTCTATTTCCCGTGGTTATGGAAATTCGACTACGAAGAAGATATTTTGGCCTCAGCCTTTATACTTCAGAACTTTGTTCGCTTCAGATTTTTTGTTTTCTCTACACTTGTTTTCACCCTGCCAGTAACCTTATATTTATTTCCAATCTTAATAATTTTGGAAGAAAATCTTCATCTTTGTCAGCCATCATGTGGTTACTGGGAATTGAACTCGGGAACCTCTGGAAGAGTTGCCAATGCTCTTAACCGCTGAGCCATCTCTCCAGGCTCTCAAAATCTTCATCTTTATAAAGTGGGTTCAAATACTTAGTATCTGAACTTGATAATCACAGGCACAAGGGTCATTGTTTAATGTTTTTCTACCTGCCTTCCGGGGAAAAGAACTGAGAAAATCAGATTTACACTGTGTATTAAATGGCAAAGTTCTGTCATTCATGTATTCCCAATTTAATAGACATTTTCATGAGTCCATGTATCGTGCAATGCAGTCCGCTGGGTGTTTTAAAGAGCAAGACATGGAATATATTTCTTGCCCTAAGGGGCTTTCTAAACTGATTTAGTGACACCCATATCTTTATATGAACATCCAACATAATCTAATAACTGTATGTGGCTAACAGAATGCTCTTAAGAATGTACTAACTAAGGCCCTTTTAGGTCATAATTTGGTGAAGCTGCCTCGCAGATTGGAATAAATACCAGGTTTACTAAGGATGCACTTTCTAAAATAACGTCTCAAATGCTCATATTTCATCAAACAGAAGTACATTTAGGAAATGATTTTTTTTTAAGCAAAAGTTTAGAAAAGCATCCTATAAGACAGTGGTTCTCGACCTTCCTAATACTGTGACCCTTTAATACAGTTTCTCATGCTGTGGTGACCCCCAACCATGAAAGTATTTCATTGCTACTTCAGAACTGTAATTTTGCTACTGTATAATGTAATCTGATATGCGGGATATCTAATATGTGACCTATGTGAAAGGGCCCTTTGGCCCCCAAAGGTGTCAAGATCCCACAGGTTTAGAACCCCTGCCATAAGATGTATTATGTGGTCATTAAATATTAAAAGGCTGTCATGATTTCAACCAAAACATCAGTTATCTTTGGGTATCCATGTCAATGTTCTCATGCACTTGGGAAGAAAATTATAGTGCCTAGAAAAATAACTAGAGAATAGCAGATTTTTGTTGTGTGTTTATGACCATAACTTTAAGATAACTTTATTATACTAATTTATTTATAGGGGGAGGCACAGGCACACAACTGGAAATCAGGGGATATGCTGTAGTAGCTGGTTCTCTACCTCTCCTACTACTGTGGGTCTAAGGGATCAAACTCAGGTCTCATACTTGATGACAAGCACCTTTACCCACCGAGCCATCTTGTCTACCCACAGATGTACAGATTTCAATAGAGTGGTGCTCGAGCACTGTATTACTTTTCTCTTGCTGCAATAAAACACCATGATCAAAAAGCAATTTATAAAAGACAGAGTCCCATAACCTAAATGCTCTGTAACCTTTCCAAACAGCACCGCTCACCAGGGACCCAGTGTTCAAATACTAAACCTATGGGGGATATTTCTTATTCAGACCACTACAGACACATCCATGTTGGATGAGCTCTGGATTGGCTTTGCAAATTTGACTTAAGAAGTTAAATGAAATCCATGTCTTTGTATGTTAGCCCCCTCCCCCAAAAAAACTAATAATAATAAAATAATCATCCTGAATGCTTTTGAATTTTTTTAAAAAGTTAAGAATCTCAGTGAGAATTATTTCTAAAACCAATTCTTACTAAGCTTGGAGCACAGGGTAAGTAAGATGTCTGTTTGGAAAGATTGATCCAGGCTCTTCCTGTGATGTAATGACACTGGTTCTTTCCCTAGTTCTAAACGAGAATTTATCTACCTTCTGGCTGGGTGGAGTTTCTTATGCTGCGTGCATGTGGACCTTTGAGAATTGATTGAACCCACACCACGAAGCATGGCAGGCTGAAAAGCAGCTAGAGGGATGTAATGTTAACCCTGCAGCCTCCCTTATAGCTCAGTATGTTTGTTATCTCATTTATGAAATGAGATTAAAGATTGTTATCATTGCCTTGGAAACTGTGTGGTTTGATAAAAACAGCCAGGAATATCACACCTGAGAGCTTCTTATTCTGTAGGAACATTTCACTTTAACCCCTTTAGGCTGGAAGAGCTAATTGTTAAAATGACATAAAAATAGCTCAGACAGATAGGCTGTGAATACGGTGTTCTTGGTGCTGTGTGCTATTGAGTCTACTTGGAGAAACTCTGGTCATCTATTAACTTCTCTCTCCTAGGTCTTTTGTTTTTGTTCGTTTGATTGTTTCGTTTTATTTTGAAATGGAGTCTCACTATTTAATCCAGGCTAGGCTAGAAACTTGGTATACGGATCAGACTAACATCAAATTCCTGGTCCTCCTACCTTAGTCTACTGAGTGATGATTATAGACCTGTTACTATGCCTAACATCTACTATTATTTCATACTGCTGAGAGGAAGACCTGAAGCGGATCCAAGGTTAAACAGGTATCTGCTAGCAAGAATAGAGTTATAATTCCAGTTGGCAGACAGTTCTGTGGTTTATTCCTAACCCCTATGTGGTCTTGCATTATCCAGGGCACACTAAACATCTGTTTATAAATAAGGTATGGCTAAAATGTTTTGGCTTTGGGTTGTGGTGGGCCTGGGTTGTTCCCCCAGGTATTTACCTGTCCTTTAATCTTGGGAAGCTATTTAACTTCTCAAACGCCGCCCAGTTTTATCATCAACAAAATGGGAGTAATGGAAGGACTTATGTAAATGGACTCTTGTAAAGATTAGATGCTCTAACCAAGAGAGTCTTTAGAGCATCACTTGCCATTGAATGTGGGGTGGAGGAGGGAATGGCAATTCAAAGGTCCAAAATTAAAAATAATGCATAACATACATAAATTTTTACCCCAGATATTTTGAAGTGGATATTCCTCATCTACATTGTGTCAGTTATTTATTCAACAAATGTTTATCAAGCTCCCAACTCATGCTTGAATTCTGCATAGACTGACATACAGTAGTATTCAGGAAAGGTGTAGCTACTCTCCTCTAATTCAAATGTCAGTTTTAAAAACAAATTCATAATACTATGTTACTTGTTTCATGGTGGGAGAAGTATAGAGAATCACAGAGGATGTGAAGGTACGTCAGGTCCTGGATGCACAAGCATAAAATTATCCTCCGTGTTCTTTGGGTTGGTGGTAGGCAGTGGTCAGTGAAAATGTCAGAGGAAAGAAATCCACTAAGATCTGAAGCATGAAGACCCCATGAAATTGGAGAGCTGAAAGGTGTTCCAGATCCAGAGGAACTTGAGAATGGAAGTCAAATGATCAGTGTAAAGGAGTAAGTACATGTGAGCATGAAGGACAGGTGTGGCGATCCAGAGAACCCAGACCTTGCTAAAAGGGAACCAGCCAAGTGTTCTCAGGGTGAGATGCAAGCCAACATTTGCCAGGTGTTGAGAATTTTAAGAGAGGAACTTAAAATTTACATTTATAAAATATCTCAGAATGTAAAATGCTCGAATGTTTTTTTAGGTACTATTATGCGGGCCAAGATAAATAGACCCATGATTGTAATTCAACCCCAGGCTACTACATTGTCTCCTTCATCATTATAGAAGTGAAAGAAATTTTGTGTGGCTTAATAAATATATTTTAGAAGGATAGTCCAGGGATGTGCCCACAGGTAGACACAGAGTGACAACACTCAGCACATGTGGAGCTGGCTGAGGACAGTGTATGATGCTGAAAAGCAGCAGGTGACAGTGGAGCCTGAAATAGGATTGACACTATAGGGCTTGTGTTACAAGGAACATCCTGGGTCCCCTGTAGAGAATGCTTAGAAGGAGGCAGTAGTGGAAGGGGGGCGGGGTAATCATTTTGGAAGCTTGAAGTACTAGCAAGAATTAACTGTGGTGACAAGCAAGTTATTCAAGGCAGATGCAGAGAGATGGTAGA